TACTTCACTTCTGTGACTTATCTTATGTAAGTTAGTAGTGTTACTAATGTAACCTACTTATATAAAACATTCAACTTTCAACAAAAGAAACGAACACCAGTCTCCTGGGTGAAAGTCTGGTTTCTGGCCACATTTACCCAGTGCGTTACAAACCAAAGCCAAGGGGTCATGACCATGTGTTCATATGTGATGACTTGGGAGTGAGAACAGGATGCAGACACCGTCCTGCTGTCCCCAAGATACTTACTAGAGCACCACATGTGGAAATAGTCCCCGACAGATGCTTTCCTCCTGTTTGTCTGATAGAAACTACAGCGAGCAGCTGATTTATAAATCTGTGAGGTGTTTTTACAGATTTGCGTCTTCAGAAGGACTCAGTGAGGTCAGAGCTGAGAGGCTCAGACAGGAAGAGTTGAGAGACAGACTAACATGTTGTTGGTTTGGGTCTTTTCATGGGATTTCTTGATAATACAGAAACAGCAGCCCTCTCCTTACAAAGAATCAAAGCTGTACTGACGTACGGAGAAAGTGTCCTTGACAATAAATTCTAGCTTCTGACTAAAACCTGCAGATTTCTTCAGACTTTACAATTCTTATAAATATCTTTTTTTTTTCCATTTAAAGCCTTTAAACACACAAGTTAGACTGACTTATGTAGACAAATGATAAATCCACCACACAGAAGCAAAGATCTTTTTAATAGCCCCAGTTTCAGATATGTATATTTTCTGAGTCATTTCCGTCGGCTTATACTCGACCCGCCCATGTGACCTTCCTCACAATAGAGGTGAGATAACTTCCAGGCTCCAGTGAATTCAAGCTCTCAAATTAAGCCTCAAAGAAATTCCAGGCTGGAGGTTTGCGCTCTTATAATTTATACCAAACCAACTAAATCCCTCTTTTGTTATCTCAGTTATCAGGACGTGTAGCTTAATGCTTAATGAAGGTCGACTTTGGAGGACACGTCTTCTAGAAATGATTTAACTAAACCAGACCTGGAGAAACTTATCCACGATTTTATTTCTGCCAGGACTGGAGAAATTTTCTGCACCAATTTATGGTAGAAATGTTTTTTTATAAAAAGAGACACAAAATTGAAATATAACAATATAGCAGAATATGCAGCAATCAGCAGCATGTTATTTAGCTTAAGTTACTTTTGTTGGAGAATACACACGTTTTTCTTCAATATTTAAACTGCACTGCATGTTTTCTTTCTCTTGTGCAAATGAACCACTCTCATAGCATTTCCATTTGTTAGTTTACATTTCTTGTGGAAATCTATTTTTCAGGAATTTTTCAGAATTTCAGAACAAATGCTTTCAAAAAGTGACGGGGACAAAATCAGCCATTTAAAAAAGTGTTAGGGACATGTCCCCAGCGTCCCCAGTGTAAATGACACCAATGCCCTCTATTTGGTCTATACATCTGTCAGTGGTGTAGGACCAGCATATCTATTTGATCCACTGCACCAATATGAGCAGCGCTGTCAGATCATTGGGAACATGTCCTTACAGTCCGAAAGGCTAAACATGGAGGAAGCATTTAGCTTAGATGGAACCAGTTGGAGAGCTTTAGAAAAGCCGACTCTAGACACACAGGTTGGAAATGCTTCTATTACCAGGCTGTTATCTCAGTTCAACATATTTCATTGTTTTAGTATTCTTTTTAATATTTTATTGTCTTTTTCTTCGTATTTTGAATGATCGCAGTGTATGAAAGGTAAATAAACTCCCCTTTGAGTTAGCCAAGTATCTCAAAACTATTATTTTGACTTGGTACATTTTGAGTTACCGAGATTCGTTCGTAATCGTTTTCACTTTAAAGTTAGGCTGGTAGCTTAAGTCAAAATTCATCTTTTGATTCCAAATCAGACCAGCCCATCTGATCTCACTGCCTTGCAGCAGGTACAGGAGGCAGTACAGTACACAGGACAAAAAGAAACAAGAATATTATAAAGATTTAAAATCATCAAAAACATCACCCTGCCGGTTTCTCCCCGTTACCATAGCAACACAACACCGGGATATGTGCGCCAACATGCAGGCCCGACTGTCGCAAAGAGCTCAGCGGCCAATTACAGGATCTCGGGTTCCTGCAGGTTCCTCCAGTCAAACCTCAAACTGGGAGTGTTTGTTTTTGACACCAGGAGCAGGAATATATTGAACACTCTGGTTACATAACATGATGCAGTGGATACTTCACTGTGAAATTAGCCTGTTTAAAGTACTGAGACATGCAGCTTCCTCTGAATGGTAATTTAACAAAGCAACTTTTGGTTTTGGACACCGGTTCTGGACCTGCTGCTGTGCCGTTTGGTACCGGGGCGGGTGTTGCAGATACTCCCGCGCTGTAGTGCCAACTGTGTTTTACAGTCTGTCTGCATTGCGTCGAAACCCCCCTCCTCTCCTCTTTCTCACTCCCCTCACTCACTCTCTCTCTCCCAACCCCTCCCTCCCTCCTTCACTCACTTCTCCCGTTTGCTCTCATGAAATCCTGCAATATGCTTCCAAATTAACCGGAGACACGTCCTCTGTCTCGTGCGCCTATAGTGCGGGATCCTAAACCGGTTTTCCCGCAAAGCCTCGCGTCTTTTTTCCCTCCGTTTATTTATTTTTATTTTTTACCGCAGCAAAAAAAAAAAAAAAAAAAAACAGGAGAGCCGCTTTCTGCTGATGCTGCAGTGTCCAGTCCTCCCAGTTCCCTCCATCAGACTGGGAGCCACTTCCAGCCTTATTTCTAATGTTTTTCTTTCCACCGGTCTCTGTCCTCCGCCTCCTTTATTTCCAGCATGATTTTAAGAAACTGTCAGTCAGGATTTTTGCTGCTGAGCCGCGGTTCAAAGCCGTCCGAAGCCTCCTCCTCCTGCAGCGGGCAGCTCCGATCAATGCTGAAAACCTACACCAAGAGGATACGGATGTTAACCAAGACAACATAGTCTATTAATTTTTCAGAGATACTGTAAAACGAGATCAGTATTAAACCCAAGTTGGGGAAAGGTAGGCAGGGTGAGGACATTCCTTCCATCTGATGCCCTCCGGCTGAGCACAGGTAAATTTTTGTTAATAATTTTCATCTTTTAAAAAGGCTGTTGAGGATTTAAATGATGCTTGTTTGTTCATTTGAATGTGTAAAATCTTTATCTTGACTGGACAACAGTTGATGCATGAGATGAGTCTGCGCAGAGAGGAAGCGCAGCAGGACTGCAAACTTGAATACTGATGTATGCGGTAAAAATACAGCAAATGCAGCACAGGCTGCTGTACTGTACTGCATGATATTTTTTTCCTCTCGCTGTTTAGCTCCCTGATATGTGGGGTGTGAACGGAGATCTGTGTGCTCTGAGGGACCAGATCTAATTTGTTTCACCTTCTTGCAGGTGACAGATGAAGCTTTGCTGAGAGAAACAAGATGTTCAGCTCAGAGATGAAGAAGATGATGATGATGATGAAGATGGTGGTGATGATGAAGGAGAGGAAGGCTCTGCACAGCTCCCGGCCTCAGTAGAGGCGTCTTCGCTCCAACCTGTTCCTCTTCACCTTCACGCCGCTTCCTCTCCTTGTCCTCCACCCACCAGGAAGGATGACTGTGGTGTCCACAGAGAACATGGATGAGACCTCCACCTTGCCGGGACACCCGCAGGACCCCTACCCGCCCGACGACGATCACGATGACCACGACTGCTGCGAGCGGGTGGTCATCAACATTTCGGGGCTGCGCTTTGAGACCCAGCTAAAGACTCTCGCCCAGTTCCCCGAAACTCTACTCGGGAACCCCAAGAAGAGGATGCGCTACTTTGACCCCTTACGAAACGAGTATTTCTTTGACCGGAATCGCCCGAGTTTCGATGCCATCTTGTATTATTACCAGTCAGGAGGAAGGCTAAGAAGACCGGTCAACGTGCCCCTGGATATGTTCTCAGAGGAGATAAAGTTTTACGAACTTGGCGTGGAGGCTATGGAGAAGTTTCGAGAGGACGAGGGATTTATCAGGGAAGAGGAGCGGCCCCTGCCAGAGAAGGAGTTCCAGCGGCAGATCTGGCTCCTCTTTGAACACCCGGAGAGCTCGGGCCCCGCCCGGGGGATCGCCATCGTCTCAGTGATGGTTATTCTTATTTCAATAGTCATATTTTGTTTGGAGACGTTACCAGAGCTGAAGGAGGATCCCAATCAGCGGATGCAGATAGTGGGGAACGTCACCGTGTATTACAAACCAAACTTCCTCACAGACCCTTTCTTTGTGGTGGAGACGCTCTGCATCATCTGGTTTTCTTTTGAGTTGATAGTCCGGTTTTTCGCTTGTCCCAGCAAGGCGGCTTTCTTTAAAAACATGATGAACTCTATCGATATTGTGGCTATAATCCCGTACTTCATCACTCTTGGAACAGAGCTGGCTGACGACCAAGACAACAAGGAGGGGAAGGGAGGAGGGGAACAGGCCACGTCTCTGGCTATTCTCAGGGTAATCCGCCTGGTGAGGGTGTTCAGGATCTTTAAACTGTCCCGACATTCAAAGGGGCTCCAGATTTTGGGGCAAACTCTAAAGGCGAGCATGCGGGAGCTGGGCTTGCTAATTTTCTTCCTCTTCATCGGCGTGATTTTGTTCTCCAGTGCTGTCTACTTCGCTGAGGCCGAGGAGAAGGAGTCGTTCTTCACCAGTATCCCAGATGCTTTCTGGTGGGCCGTGGTGTCGATGACGACCGTCGGCTATGGGGACATGTATCCCGTGACCATCGGAGGGAAGATCGTGGGCTCGCTGTGCGCCATTGCCGGAGTGTTAACCATCGCACTCCCGGTGCCCGTCATCGTGTCCAATTTCAACTACTTCTACCACCGGGAGACGGAGGGCGAGGAGCAGGCTCAGCTCCTCAACGTCAGCAACCAGAACTTGGCGTCGGACACCAACTCGAGCCGCCGCAGCTCCTCGGTGATGAGCAAGTCGGAGTACATGGAGATAGACGAGGACATGAACAACAGCATCGATAACTTTAGGGAAGCAAACCTTAGGACTGCCAACTGCACGGCTCCCAGCCACAACTGTGTGAACAAGGGGAAGCTGCTCACCGACGTGTGAGGCGGCGTCCAACGCACCAGTGTACATATTGTAGAAATATCTGGATGCTTTATTTCCATTGGTGCATTTTATTCTTCTTTTGCATTGATTCATTCAAACATGTATGAATAACTAAAGATTTTAAGGCACTCATGGTAAACTTGTAAAAAGGTAGAGGCTCAGTTATTTCATGAAAACACAGTGACAGGGTCGTCTGGCAACAGTTCAAAGATCAGCAGGTGTCAGGGAATATTTTTGATAAATTACTTACTAATTACTTAGTTCATTCCCACAAATCGAAGGGGAACTCCACCAATTTTTTACATAAAGGTTATATCTTAGAATGAGATAATAACCTGAGTGATCTCATAGTGATGTCATTGTCTGGTTTTGGCATGGGGATTACTTTTTCCTTTTTCTTTTTACAGAAAAGCGTGCGTTACAAAGTGGAGGTGTCGAATTTTGAAAGATGTGCGTGATTACGAGGCATTGAGAGTCTGTTAAAAGACTTTTACATGAGCTGGCGCTTTGATTTTGACCAGTCCAAATTTACTGGCTTATACCAGGCAGGATAAAAGACTAACGGAAGATATTATGGTAGTTATTGTCAGGTTGCACCATGGGAAATGGAAGAGCCAGTTGTTTTTGAAGTTTTCCCAAAACTACAGACAAAAGTCAAGATATTTTTTACTGTTCTTTTTTTAATGCAGTGCAATAATAAATTGATGGAGTGCCCCTTTGACAGCGTTACCATCTTCACTTTTGACTGAGATTCATAGGTATACTTCAGGCTGTTAAAACACAACTTTGTGTTATCTCTGATGTCTCTTAAGTGTAATTTGTAGATTTACATCTGGTTTTAGATAAATTTAGATAATCCAATGTGTAAAAAAAAATCTTATTCTGGAGGATGACTATACAGGTGGATGCACAAGAGACAAGGAAGGGAGCAAATGAATCATAAGAGCAAGATTTAGTCCATTTGAGGAAATTAATTTCCCTCAAGGCAAGTTTAGTTGTGTAACACCTTTCGACAACAAGTGGAAGTGTTGTACACAAGACATGACAAACAGGATTAATAAAGAATTTAAAAAAACTGATTAACAAGAGAATAGAAAACAGTACGGCGCAAAATATGAATAGTCTCATTTTTATTTAATAAAAGGCAGAAAAGCCAAAAGCAAAGTTTGAGAGTAGAATATAGAAAATTAAAAAACATTAGTATATTGAAAGTGTGAGGGAATAATCAGCAATTTGAGGGCACAAATTGCGAATTTAATATAATAATTTATTTTAAAAAACTCTCCCGGACACCTACCAGGCTTTGTGCAATAGACTCATCTTTCAGGATAACTGACTCAACTGAGATTTGAAGAACACGTCAGTGGACGACTTGAGGGAAGAAACACATTTTGAGCGGATTACAGTTTGGGGCGTGTTTTCTACGGCACATCCAGGCACATTTAGGATAACTCAACATTAGATGTTGATCGACGTTATTCCAGGCACCTTATCAGAAACAAACAAGACTTGTGCCGAGCCTCGAGGAGGATTATCTACACTGCTGCTGCTACAGGTCGGCTGGAGGTTCCCTGTACGATGCCATGCAACACTCCTTTATATAAAAGCATGTGGAGACTCTCTTCTCTCTTTTATTGGCATGCACAAGACGTTACCTCATTTTTATTTTTTACGTCTTCTCTTCTTTGACGTTCATCTCCTCTTCCTGGAATCGCAGTTTTTTCTCATTTGTTTTCACCAAAAGTGCACTGGCTTATTTATTTATTGTTTAAGTTACTTTAAAACATTTAAGTGTTGAATGTTAAAGCATTAAGGGAACAGGAACACTTCTTTTTCGAAGATCATGGCATGTCAAAATACTAAAGCATTATGGCCTAATTAGCTATGCTATAGCTATGTATACTCAATGCATGACTACAGTATTAAATTGCTTGCAGTTGTGGAGGGACCTCGGGAGCTGGGGGATCATGATGGTTCTCCTCATTATTGTCAAGCTAACGACAGGATACGGTGCATGACGAAGCTAACTGCCGGAGGGGACAAATCTGCTGAAAAAAAAAAAAAACACAGGAAAAATATCAGAAGAAGAGAAATATCCGACATTCTCTTGAAAAAATGACATTTCAGAAATTACATCCTCCCTTTTCATTTATTTAAAGCTTTGATCTCGGATGATGGAGTGCATGGGATCATTTTATGTGATTTGTGACCCCATTTTTTTCTTCTTGCATTTGACTTTTAAACAGTTTCAAGAAGGGAAAGCAGTAATATTTAACAAATTTCATAGATATATCTAAAATTAGTTTCTAGTGCCTTGAACCCCGTCTCATTATAGAATTGACTGAAGTGCCTCCCGTTACAATTGACAGCAAAGAGCTTACTACGTGCAGCTTAACTTCTCCTGCTACACTACTCCCTGCACATCTGGAAAAGAAAAGGTGTTATAGACGAAGTTTTGATAACGATCTGAATATACTCCTGAGTTTTGGGCCTACTTAAACTCACATTTGTCCTGGTCGATGACACATGGCTGCAGTGCGCAGTTAAAATATGGTCTCTGGTCTTTTCTGTGATACATCTGCAGGTACTTGAGTTTGACATCCATGAAGGGATTCCTGAATTTTTTAATTTGGTTATTATTATTCTCAAAATAGTGGCTGCTCTGACTGTCATTCTGCAGAAGGATCTACCTGTGGGGCAACTTAAAACGAATCCAAGCTAGCTGTCTGGTTAGCTAATAAGCACACTACCTGTTCTAACGCTTGTCTCTAAGTAAGTACACATAAATTAGCCTCTTGTATTAGCTGTTGCTACATGGGGATCTACTGATGTCGGCTAACAAAGCAAGCTGTGACTACATATTCATCTACAGTTATTCCATATCATTTTAAATATAGCATGATCTAACATCTAACTAATTCATTTGACTTAGCTCCTTGTCTGTGTTGGATAAGCTAGTTAGCAACAGTAGCTAATCCAGGCGGGCTAATTCTGATGTTTATTTTCGTTCAGACTTGGAGACAAGCAATGTGACATGATCAGAAACCTCCAGCAGGCATGCGTTGCTGGCTCTGATAGCCTGTACTTTATTTTGCCGAAGTTGTTTTTCCTAAATTCTCTACTACAGAGGCATAAGTCAGCATGACTAATAAGTCAGAGTGTCCACAATTATGAGAAAAATATCAGAATTTCCCTTTTAAAGGCAAATCAGATAGGTAGAAGACATAGCTATAGTACAGTGTCAGGTCATAGGTCTCATTAGGGCATATCACAAAGCTCATTATTTTCAATTTCATGCAAAAATACAGATCAGACAGGGCCGTAACCTCATTAAAAATATAAAGAGCACTGCCTAGACCTGCTCTATATGAACAGTGCTATGAGATAACTTCTTTTATGGATACATAAATAAATAAGATTGAATTATATTTTAATTGAAAGTCCTGCTTGTGTTTTAAAGAAGTGTTTTTCATTTTACCACTTCTATCATTTCCAGTCTAAAAAGGTCACAGAAGGTCTTGTTTAGAACTGATTGTCAGCAAGTCCCATGTTCAAATCCAAGCCAACAGCACGTCAGTTCGTCTCGCAATACTTTCTGACTTCCTGTCTGAGGCTCTCGGCTCCGAACCCATTGGTTCCTACTGAAGATGTAAATCTCTGAAAACATCTCACAAATTTATAGTTTCATTTCTCAGCTGCTCACTGTTGTTTCTATCAAACAAATATGAAGGAACATGTCGTGTTTTAATAGTTTCCAGACAACAATGGAGCTCTATGGCTCAGAGGAAGAAGAGATATCAGGCTGAGAGACACTCAGGACGTGTTAGTAGATTTATTGTAGAGTCACATGGGACTTAATGACAATTAGATAATATTAGAATATCACCAGACTTATAATTAAATGTAAATTTTACAAATTTCACAGTGACACGTTGCAAAACCCTCAGTGTCTTCAGTGGTAGCTACGGCCCTGACTGCATCACAGAACATTTCAGAAGGACTCTGCAGCACAATCAGCAGCTCTTGTGATTTTTCTCGTCGTCACTTTTTTATAATAAACTGCCACCGTCAGAGGAGCCTGTTTAAACTCAGCGTCCTCTGGCTGCCCAAAACACTGCCGCTCTGATTCCAGGGACCAGAAAATGCTGCTTTTAAAAGAAATCTGGACAAAGTCTGTTTTTGAAAATCTGGAAACATTGAAAATAATGAGCTTTACATCTTCCTGCCATGTTTTTGAACCATCCAACCTGCTGTAACTTCATCAGGCTGCCTGTCGACAACAGTATTGCAATGTTTTATATGCTTGATTAAGGCTTATACTGTCCAACATGTCCTCAGTGTTTGGACAATTGGTTGAGGCTGAAGAAATTACGGGGGTAATAATAGTTTTGTGTTCCTGGGAGAGCTCTGTTGCCTGGATGTTGCTATGCAGAGATAATGATGAATCTGACCACAGTGGAAGCGGTCAGTGTTTCCTCTGCAGAGCAGCAACTCAGCATTCATCTGAACATTACAACAGGCATTAGTCACTCTGCATGCCAGCACAGTGGCATTGCTGCTGGGTTGTTTTGAGGAGGGAGCACATGGCTGTGTGAGGGGAAAAACACTGTGGTGTTCTCAGAAGGACAACATGAGGATGGATTTATGAATCTGGATGATATTAAAAGCATTCGCACGTTGACCCGGACAAAATATGCACTAAGCAAAATTTTATTTTCTCTAATTTCACAATTTCAGTCTAAGCAACAGCTGTAAGTAACGAGCTGTTACTCAAAGTGTTAATCCTTAATGACACATGTTTTATGTCGTGTCCTTGACGACTGTCAGCTGTGAGGAGACACTGGGAAGTTTGTTGAAGAGTAAAAACAGTTAAGGAGGGGGATCTTTAAAATCCAGCAGATTATATTAAAAGACAATAAACCATATCGATATAGATGATACTAGAACTGATACTCGAGTTTCAGCACAGACAAAACCTAAAGATTAAAAGCTTTATTGTCACAGAGGACATGACACTAACAGGTCATTTGTCCACTTCGTGATTGACCAGAGAAACGCCTGTACAGGTTGAATCATGCAGAAGCTTGTTACGACCCACGTTTAGGTGTTTTATTAGACTGCGACTTCTAGTGGTAAAGAAAAGGAGGGGGTGGATAGATGAGTCAAGTAAACTGAGGAGACTGAGGTTTGAATCCTGTGTGACAGAAAGTCAAAAGGTGATATGTTATAAGTTACGTCACGTTATATAGATGACTTCTGTCACGTGACTTGTGTAACGTCGCTGGACTGGTACTTACCAATGCTCTTACATGTTGTTCTGGAAATAGGTCATATATGTCGTTTTAAGACAGTCGACAGTCGACCTATTTTGTCATTTAGGCAAGAAGATTTCACCTTAACGTAAACACCTGGAGAACAGCACCTGGCCACATGATAATTCCTGACTGTACGGGTTGATGAAGGTCACTGAATGCACCAGCTGTGTCCACAGTCAGGACGGAGGGCTGGATTTTATGTTTCTCTGTTGAGATGTAGGCTTCTCAGTCTCCACTTTTAGACTTTGTTTTGCAGATTCTGGGATTTGTGTTGCGAAAACTTGAACTTACTGCAAACTGCCTCACCAAAAGTGTCAACAGGAATAATTAAGATTAACACTTTAAAACTGTCCAACGAAGGTTAAAATCAAGGGCAACTGGACTTGGTTGAAGATACTGGAAGACGTTTCGTCCCTCATCCAAAGGACTTCTTCAGTTCTGACTGACTGGCAGGGAAACTCAGCTCAACTGAGGTTAAATAGCTGAGTTTCCCTGCCAGTCAGTTGGATAACTATGACCTGGATGACTGAGAATCTTCATAGACACTTTAAAACTGGACTCCCTCGTGTTTAATCTCCAACATTCACACAGTTCCCTCGTGCCGCCATGTGAAGTCAGTTAGTGTGGTTTCAGTTTAGAAATATCCACCAATGTTGTTCAGGGTTAGTTTAGGGTACAGAGGGTTTTAGTGGGTTAAAATCTTTGTGTTTTGATCGATCACAGGCACCTTAAAGAAACTTCGATGTCTTACAG